TAAAGATGATTTTCCCAGGGATGGTATTTGACTAAGTTGCTCCAGAGTCTTAGGGTGTAAACCACAGTTAGCAAGCTCCTTATGAACAACCTCCTGTTTAGTAAAAAGCACATTATTAGTCTTTGAACACTCGAGAGTTTTATTACCATGGAGACTTTGACAAATAAATGGCTCATTCCCATAACTCATCCTATTGATAGAAGTTGATCCTAAGAATTTCTGCAGTGACAAAAATCCCAAAATACTGATGTTGGTTACTTTTAAAATAAGTCTACCAAACTGGTAAGTATGAGGCAATTTTCAGTCTTAATAGGTATAACTCTAAATAAAAACTTCAAAATTGAAGGCAAATAAAGTAAATACCCATAGTGAATCAGGTTTCCTTAAATTACAAAGCAATCAGGAACTTATTATTTTGGATCTGAGAGGACAATGAAAAATACTGTCTCGAGTTCGGGAAGTTCTGTAGTCACTACTACAAGTACAAAGGACTGAATAAAATTTATCTCACAAAAATTAGGTATAGAAGACATTCCTCTTAGTAATTCGTAACTGATAAAATTAAGTAGTAACAGTTCTATAACTTGAAACAAAATGGAATGACCCACTTCCTCCAGCTAATTTGAGGAAACTACAACTAAAATAGTATGTTTATGGGTGTCTACTTACCTTATGCAGTACTTTGTCCACTGGCAGGCAGATATTAAATACAGCAGTTGGGTCATGTGGATACAGTCCTACGCAGAAAGATCCGCTCTGTGAAGATTTGAGTAGCATGGTCACAGAATGTAGAAAATGAGGCATGACAGGACCTGTAATCTCCAAACTAAACTGATCTTTATATCCAGAAAGAGCTTGTGTCTTCACATTTACACTTCGTGCCTTAAGCATTTGCATTGTGGCACCTCGGAAAGCTGTAGGAGCTAAGAGGGTTGGTGGCAGTCCTGCCTGTGGACCTGAGGTAGCAATTAAACTCTTACAGTTGATCAAAAAATTGAGCAATGTGAAGGTATTGATTCCTTTCACCAACACAACAGACTCAGGTCTGTGATCCATTTGTACTTCATGTTTCTCTTTACGTAGCTTGATAGAAAGTATGTCTGGTTTTTTAATTTTATCTTGCACACCCATTTCTTCCAGCCAGGAAAAACTTTCCTCTTCATCCTCATCACTGATTACTTGTTCCCTAGGAAATTGCTATAGTTATTAACTCTACAAATCTATTTCACTGAGTCTATAAATCATTAGACAATGTAAAAAGTTATTTTAATCACATACTCCCCGTATCCCAAGCTTGCTCCAGATGTTCTCTTCTTACGGCCATTTTCTTTTACTAAAGGCAGAGAAAATTCAATACCTACATGAGAGAAAAAAATTTACCTGAGTTTTTTAAAAAAAGTATTTAACAGATGTGCCCTACTTTTAGAGTGTAACAAATTTGAAATGTGAGTTTTTACACTTGCTCTATGAAGGCAGTGGTTTTCAAGCTTTCTTTCTTTTTTTTTTTTGAGACAGAGTATCACTTTGTTGCCAGGCTAGAGTGAGTGCTGTGATGTCAGCCTAGCTCACAGCAACCTCGATCTCCTGGGATGAAGATCCTACTGCCTCAGTCTTCCAAGTAGCTGGGACTACAGACGTCTGCCACCATGCCTGGCTAATTTTTTGTATATATATTTTTATTTTTTTAGTATACATATGCAGGGAATGTATATATATATATATAATATATATATTTTAGTTGGTCAATTAATTTCTATTTTTGGTAGAGACAGTGTCTTGCTCAGGCTGGTTTTGAACTCCTGACCTCGAGCGATCCGCCCGCCCCATCTCTCAAAGTGCTAGGATTATAGGCATGAGCCACCGCGCCTGCCCCAAGCTTTCTTAATAGTACTCCACAACACACAAACCTATAAACACAGACATCTCCTAGAAACAAAAGGCTTAGGACACAATACATACACGTGATATTCTTTCATATATTTTATTCCAGTTCACTTTTTAAAAATGTGTTGATTGGGACCAATAAATAGATTTCATGATCCACTAATGTGTTTTATTTAAGAGATCAGAGGGGGAACACCATTAACTTAAAGCTATGTAAGGAACAGCTTAAGTAATTATAGGAAGAAAAACCCAAAATAAAGAAATAATACATTTCTTAAAATAATATTGGTAATCAATTGATAAAAGACAACTCAAATTTCAGCTTTTAAGGCAAGAGTTTATTATATAGTCTAGTAAATCTAAACCTAAACTTTTACCTTCATTTTTCATAGCTTCTCTTAAACCTCGAGTTGTAGGAGATACGAGAGCTGTGATCACATCACTCCCTGCTAATCCTGCTGCTCGGAAC